ACTGGGGATTAAATCAGCTCCAAAATCCATTCATTATTGCCACCAAGACAGTTAATGCGGAAGCATATGTGTTTGATCATATAGCAAACATCCATCTAAGCCTCCTTTAGATGGTGCTTGCAATCCTGATTTGAGGTTGAGGGGTAACAATACTGAAGGCTATGGTTTATCATGGAGTCATTTCAAGCAGGGTCATCTATTGAGTGGTTCATATTTTGTAGCTTAATAACTTGATTTAGTAGAGAAAAGTTGGGGTCCCATCGAATGACCTTAATTTTCCATACAATCATAGATGTTAATCTTTTGAAACGTGCTCGTGTGATATCTAAACTTGACAAATGTCTGACCAGGTTGCAGATGAACTTGTTGCTGAATTTTCAAATCCTAACAGTGGTGTTGCATCTTCAGACCAGGTTTCTCGCTTTCATACTTTTTCTCATCCTTTGCTCGTGGTAATTGAAAAGTCAGTGTTTTAAGCTTTTGATCTTACTTCTGTACGTGTGGCAGCAACAATACGATGAGAAAAACATTCAGCGAAGGGTGTACGATGCTCTAAATGTACTGATGGCAATGGATATAATCTCCAAAAATAAAAAGGAAATACAGTGGAAGGGTCTACCTTGCAGTAGCTTGAATAACATTGAAGAGCTAAAGCCTAAAGATTCCATTTTATGTTCCGTCCTTTCACTTCTACCGTCTCTTTCCCTTCACTGTTCACATATATTTATGTCACAGAAAAGGAATTCTCACTGTCATTTAATTTTTATGATATCAGCGAATACAGCTTATTTATATGCATGTTGTTGCAGACCGAACATCTTGGACTTAGAAATCGGATTGAAAAGAAATCAGCGTATTCGGAAGAGCTCAAGGAACAAGTAATAACATATATAATGCCTGTGTGTTTGAAACCGAGAGAAAATTGTTTCCTTAACGTAAATCATGTATGAAGATATGCAACTGTTGTTGGCATTTCTAACATTTTTTGCTTTTTGCACTTTGGTTGGCCAAAGTACATAGGTCTTCAAAACCTCATACAACGCAATGAGCAACTGTATGGCTCAGGAAATGCCCCTACTGGTGGTGTGGCCTTACCTTTTATATTGGTGCAGGTGAAGTTGATTGGAAATATCTGTTCTTTAATTTTTATTGTGTCTATCTTCCAAAAATTAATGCTCATCATCACAAGGCTGCATATTTTCCCTTACTGCTCTCCTTTTTGCTTCTTACTAAAGAAGAAGATGGGAAGAATTGTCCAGACATTTATGCAATTAAGAGTACATGTTCAATGTATGAGTTTTGTTTTTCAGGTACAACAAAGTTGCTTACCTGGAGACCGACGTTGGGCAGACGGAATTTACTCCTCCTGGTATTCTTTCGCTTACTGTGGTTGACAAAGTAATTCCAGGTACTTTTGCAAATGGTGTTTACCATTTCACTTATGTTCTCTCTCTCTCTATTCGGCACAAGTCTATCACTTTATCTAATTATTTATCAATTATATAAACATTACATCATTAATTATTTAATTAACAAAAAAAATTACATCTTTATTAATAACAAATTAATTATTAAACAAAACTATTAAATATAAACTAGGCAAACGTGCATTGCACGTTGCTTGCACCTAGTATATATAAATATGACAAACAATGAACAATAAAA